GGAGTGCAGTGGTACGATCTCGACTCACTGCAACCTCTGCCTCCCGAGTTCAAGTGATTCTCCTGCCTCAGCCTCCCAAGTAGCTGGGATTACAGGTGCATGCCACCATGCCCGGCTCATTTTTGTATTTTTAGTAGAGATTAGGTTTCACCACATTGGCCACGCTGGTCTTGAACTCCTGACCTCAGGCGATCTGCCTGCCTTGGCCACCCAAAGTGAGAGCCACTGCGCCTGGCCTTATCTTTGGATTTCTAGCTACAGCCAACATCAACTTTTAAAAAATTATTTATTGTTAAATACATGTCTGATCTTAGTTCAATATGTGATTTATTCTGTTGGTGGTTATTTCCTGAGTCATAAAGGGAGGGATTCGGGAAACCCAAAATGAATGAAATTTGCTTGACTGCTTAGCAACCTCCTATCTAAAAATCAATCTTTTCAGCCAGGCGTGGTGGCTGGTGCCTGTAGTCCTAGCTACTCAGGAAGCTGAGGTGGGAGGATCCCTTAAGCCTAGGAGTTTGAGCCTGTGATGAGTCATAATTATGTGAGTGCACTCCAGCCTGGGTGAAAAAGCAAGACCCTGTCTCAAAAATCAATCAATCATTCTTTTTATAGTTATGCCCAAGGACCAGATACAAGATAGGACTTTGCTCTGAAGCTACAGATACCCTATTTTATGGCAGCTGTGGACAGGCTATGAATAATATTTATAAGGAAAGAAAATAATTTAGTGTTTTTTTAAAATTTAAATATGTCTTGCTTCTTTGGACTGTCATACTTTTAGTTTTTAACCACTGTTTATTTTGTGTAGGTAGATGTGAGGAGCACCTTTAAAGAAGTGTTAACGCTGTGGTTTAAAAAAATCAAAATTGTCATTCAACTTCTTAATTTCCTAAATTAGCCTTTGATACTGATGATTGGTTGGTTTTGAGTTAGTGCTGAAAACTGAACTGAATCTTTGCCAATTCAGACAGCAATATTGTGACTTGATCACTTTTTTTTTTTTGAGACAGGGTCTCACTCTGTCACCCAGGCTGGAGTGCAGTGGGGTGATCACAGCTCACTGTAGCCTTTACCTCCCAGGTTCAGGTGATCCTCCCTCCTCAGCCTCCCAAGTAGCTGGGACCAGGGATGCTCAGCCAAGCCCAGTAAATTGTTTTGTAGAGATGGGGTTTCACCATGTCACCCAGGCTCTCTTGAACTCTCAGACTGAAGTGATTTGCCTCCCTCAGCCTCTCAAAGTGCTGGGATTACAGGCGCAAGCCACCATGTCCAGATGACCTCTTCATGCTTTATGGCGTCTATGCCCCTGGGTGTATTAGGTTGCTCATTTAAAACAATCAAAAGAAATTATTTGATTCCTTTCATAATTACCCCAGTCTTAAGAAGACCAAGAAAAAAATAGTTTGTTCCACAAGTGTGAAGAAGATACTCTGAAATTAGAAGGACAATTTGCATGAATGCCTTTTGTATCTGCCTCTTTACATTTTGGTAAATTTCAGGATCAGAAGGGTGTGGTGGCTCACACCTGTAACCCCAGCATTTGGGAAGGCTGAGGCGGGGGTTGGGGGGGTAGGGGTGGGAATCACCTGAGGTCAGAAGTTCAAATCAGCCTGATCAACATGGAGAAATGCCCGCCTGCCCTGAATGACATCTACTTCCTCAGGTTCCTCCTCCTTTAATGGTTGCTCCTTCTAGGATCTTCCTTTTCTTGCAGAACTCCTACCCTTGGGGTGCCCCAGGGCTCCTTTCTTGGCCCTGTCATTATCTGCATTCACTTGCTCTGTTATCTCATTGATTTGGGGGATTTTACATTCCTTTCAGGAATGCCAGAGTATTGAAGCAACAAGATGTTTCCCACTCTGAAATGGCTCAGTGAAACAAATGAATAAAAGCATGTATAAATAGACAAATATGGCTGGGCTGAGTGGCTCATGCCTGTAATACCAGCACTTTTGGAGGCCAAAGCGAGAGGATCACATGAGCACAGGAGTTTGAAACTAGCCTGGGGAACATAGTGAGAACCTGTCTCTATTTTTATTTTAAAAGATAGAGAAATATAGAGCTGATATGGCAAAATGTTAATAATTGCTGAATGAAGGTAGAAGGTATATGTACTAAATGTGTGTACATTTGTGTATGCTTGAAAATATTCATGTTAAAAGGATGGAAAAAAGTAAATAACTATTGGCTGGGCGTGGCTGCTCATGCCTGTTATCCAAGCACTTTGGAAGGCTGAGGCAGGTAGATCACAAGGTCAGCAAATTGAGACCATCCTGGCCAACATGGGAAACCTGTCTCTACTAAAAATTAAAAAATTAGCTGGGCATGGTGGCGCTTGCCTGTAGTCCTGGCTACTCGGGAGGCTGAGGCTGGAGAATCTCTCGAGCCCAGGAGGGAGAGGTTGCAGTGAGCCGAGATTGTGTCGCTGCAATCCAGCTTGGTGACAGAGCAAGACTCCGTCTCAAGAAAAAAAAAAAGTAAATAACTATTATCTATCTACATACTTACAACTCCCAAATTATGTTTTCTGCTCAGCCCTTTCTCCTGAACTCCAGATTCACATATCCAAAGCCCAATGATGGTCGCAATTGGATGTCAAAGCAATGTATCCAAAACGGAACCCCTTTTGCCTGCTGCATCAGGGGCTTTTGTACCCCCAAGCCTGCTGCATCAGCAGCTTCCCCACCTCAGCTGATGACAACTCCAGTTTTTGTAGTTGTTCAGGCTTCAAACCTTGGAGTCACTTTGACTCTTCTCTTTCTCTCCCGGCCCAGATTGCATCCCTCTGGATATCCTGTTGGTTCTGTTTGCAGAACTTATCCAGAACGTGATCCCTTTTTATCCCCGACACTCCACACGCTGGTTTGAACCAGTCCCAGCTCTTGCTTGGATCATTACAGTAGGCTCCCACCTGGTCTCTTTGTTTCTGTCTTGTCCCCCTCAGTCTATTCTCAAAAGGGGGGTCTCAACAGAACCCCCTCTTTTCTTTTTGAGGCAGAGTCTCACTGTGTCACCCAGGCTGGAGTGCAATGGCATGATCACGGCTCACTGCAACCTCCGCTTCCTGGGTTCAAGCAATTCTCCTGCCTCAGCCTCCTGAGTAGCTGGGATTACAGTTGCCGCCACCACGCCCAGCTAATTTTTGTGTTTTCAGTAGAGATGGGGATTTTGTGTTTTCACCATGTTGGCTTGTGGTCTCAGTCTCTTGACTTCAGGTGATCCATTCACCTCAGCTTCCCAAAGTGCTGGGATTACAAGCAGAGCCACCACGCCTGGCCCACAGAGATCCTTTAAAATGAAAGTCAAATTGAGTTCCTCTCTGCTTAAAATGCCTTACTCAGAGGAAGCAAGGAAACAGTGGAAACTGAAATCCTCGAACAGCCCAAGGCCCTACCCAATCTCCTTGATCTTCCCACCTGGCCCACTATGCAGTCACTTTGGCCTCCTTGCTGTTTCTGGAATAAGCCATGATACTGCTTTCTTGGGATTCCATGCAGCTGTTACCACTTCCTGGAATATTCTTCCCCTAAACATTGGCACCATTTGCTTAAAGTTAATTCTCAACAAAGCCTGCTCTTAAGATCGCAACCTGCTTCTCCACACATCAGATCCACCTAAGCTTGGTCTTATTTCACTATAGGACTCACATTGCCTGATTTTCTTATGCATTATGTTTCTCTTTTTTTTTTTTTTTTTTTTGAGACGGAGTTT